TTGATTGTGCAGTGAAGCAAGCTATTATTGCTAACAATCTCAATCTTTTCTCTATCATGGTGCTGCCAGTTGGCCCTTTGGTGAGAACCTTTGTCTTCTTGACATTGATATTCAATCCATATTCTCACATTTGCATGTTTTCATTTCTATGGGAGAAGGAGCCACAGCATTGGCTAGTCTATTGGCAAGAAGGAAGCATTACAGCACATTTAGACCATGTCAGTGTGAACACATTCAGAGGCTTGTTCAGTGAACTGTGGGGCACTGACTCGTAGTGGGTCCCACAGTTACAGCATCACTGTGCATCACCATTGTGTAGCCAAAACTGGATCATACTGGTGTTGTCTTCTTCACAGGTGCAACCTACTATCCACTTATTGGTGACAGAAAGAACCAAATTAGGATCATCCTCGGTGCTTGTGGCTGCCTCTGGAGCAAGCATACTGTATGGATCCTGGCCCTTCTAAGCAGCCGTCATGACCTCCTTTCTCCAACCCTGATCCTGATAATCATCAGGTAACACATCCTCCAGATGCCATGGAGCGCACAGCTGCAACCCCATTAGGACTGCAGGCCCTCAAGGTCTGAGTGGCCAATGCTCCAACTCTATGAAGTAATCTTGAAGCCATAATGCCCGCCACCAGCAGCAGCACTTCCAGAAGGAATCTCCGTCAAATTACCGTTAGTAAGATACTCACTTGCATCCTATCTCCATACCTTTTCAACCTATATGCAGGACAGATCATTCAAGAGACTGGGCTTTATGAGGAGGAATGTGGCATCAGGATTGTAGGAAGACTCAACAACAACCTGCGATATGCAGGTAACACAACCTGACTTGCTGAAACTGAGGAGGACCTGAAGCACTTGCAGCAGAAGGTCAAGGACTGCAGCCTTCAATACGGATTGAAGCTCAACATCCAGAAGATAAAGATTCTTACCACTGGACCAACTGGCAGCACCATGATAGATGGAGAAGATATTAATGTTGTTAGCAATTACAGCTTGGTTGGCTCCACAACCAACACTCTTGGCACCAGCAGTCAGGAAATTAAGACGAATTGCATTGGGAAAATCTCCTATCAGGGACCTCTCTAGAATACTGATAAGCAATGATGTCTATAGAGACTAAGGTGCACCTAATCCAATCCATGGTCTTTGCAATGATTTGCTATGCATCAGAGTTGGACAATCACTAAAGATGACAGGGCTTGAGGCCTGAGCTGTGGTGCTGGAGAAGAGTCTTGACATACCATGGACTGCCAAGAAAACAAATAGATCTGTCTTGGAGAGGGTGAAAACAAGTTTCTCCTTGGAGGTTAGGATTTTGAAGCTCCATCTCACATACTTTGGGGCATGTGGCCATGAAGGATCGTTCCTTGGAGAAGGACATCTTGCTTGGAAGGGTGCAGGGACAGCACAGGAGAGGAAGAACCCAGATGAAATGAATTGATACAGTAACTGGGGCAATGGGGGTAGGTGTGTGGAAGTCAGTGAGATTGGCTGAGGACAAGGCAGGCTAAGAGCTGTTGTACATAGTGTCACTATGAGTGCAGGGACTCGATGACACATAACATAGTGATGTCATGCTGAGCTGCTTAGATCCTTTCTGGGGAGTGCAGGACCTGGTGCCCTTGATGCTGAATCACACTCCCTTCTGGAAGTAGCCTTTACATAGATTGCGGGGGTTAGTTGTATGATCAAGCCTAGCCCCTTGCTGCAGCAGGTTAACTGAGTCACAGGTGCTTGTAAGTTTGGCTGAGGCTCCAATTGGGCCTGCTGTGCTGCTCCTCTCCCTCTGCTCCACCCTGCTTCCTTCCCCTCATTCCCCAGATGTGGATCTCAGGAGTTGTTGTTAGGTGCCAAGTATGACTCATAACGACCTTATGAACAACAGACCTGAACCCTGTCCTCTCCTGTGCCATCCTCACAATCTGACATACTTGAGCCCACTGCTGCAGTCACTGGGTCAATCCACCTGGTCGAGGGTCTTCCTTTCTTTTGTCATCCCTCCACCTTTCCAAGCATGATGTCCCTCTCCTAGAAGTAGCCTCTCATACCCAAAACACACAAGATTAGGCTTTGTCATCTTTTTCCCCCCTTAAAAAATTTATTATACTAGTTTACAAAATTAGAATATTGTTTTCCAGGCTTTTCATCTTCGCCTCCAAGGATTACTCTGGCTGTACTTTCTCCAAGACATTTCTTGTAGAGTCTGTTCTTTTTTAAGTCCACAGAATATTCAGTCCTATTCTCCAACCCCACAACTCAGTAGCATCAATTCTTCTGTTATCCTTACTCATTGTCCAGTTCTCAGATGTACAAGTGACTGAAAAGACCATGGCCTGAATCAGGTGCACCTTAGTCATCAAAGTGACATCATAGCTCCTCAGTAGTTTGGAGATTCCAGACTGCAGACTTTTCCAGTGCAGCATGTCTCCTGATCCCTTATTACTGGTACCAAGTGTATAATGATTGTGGATTCAGGTAAGATTCCCTAATAAATGTCATGCTTTAGAACTTCCCAAGTGAAGTCAATCTGTGGCAGTCACAGGAGAGGCAAAGAGGAGCAAACCATGGTCTGGCCTACAAATATGCCAAGGTACAGTGGGGTGCTACAATGTGACCCTTCACTTACAGTGTAAGCTTGCTGATGGGTTTAGTACAAATGCAGTGAAACCCCAGAAAAATAGATGAGATTGAGGGGTGCCCCTCACTCCCAGGTCAGAGATCCCTATAGGCCATCAGCCATTGTGCAAGACCTCCAAAGCCTGGACTCACCCACCTGCTGCTTGGACAGCCCACTGGCTGCCAGCTGACGGTGACATGCCTGACGCAGCTGTAGCTCTCATAGTGGTGGGGATGGCACCTGGTTTGCTGTAGGTTTCACAGAGCTCTCAGAGTGGCTCTTTTTCTGTTCCAAGATGATAGGCCCAGTGAGGCTAAAATTTCTTGCTTCATACCAGAATCTACATCCAACATCTGGAATACAAACCTACCATCGCACTGAAATGATCTTGACAGCATCTCTGCGCACCTCTGTAGCCTGGTGCCGTCACAATCCTTGCGCATCCCTCCACTTGGCCTCTCACTGGGACTAGCCAGGTTGTCTGGGAAGTGAGTGGAGACAGGCCAGGAGCTGGGAGGTCAGATTTCACTGCGGACAGCAGTCTAAAGGGACAAACTTGGCAGGCAGCTCCAACGCCAGCAGCCTCCATGGCTGGTTGGGGACAGCAGACTCTGGGTGTGAAATGGGTGGCTGCAGTGATGGGCAGCTTGGAGCCATCAAAGGTCCCTATCAGACTCTTCTCTCTGGGCGTTATGAATGGAGCTGACACTGCTGAGCTTATCTGTCCATCCCTCAAGATGACCATTTTGTCAACTTCCCTCCCTCACATTCATCCAACGTTCACCCGCTGTAACCTATCCCATCTTTCCAAGTCTAAAGCCTTGTAGCGTAAGCTCCTACTATCACACACAGAGGCTTTTCACAGAATCTTAAAATTGGCATCCAACCCAGAGGCTGTGTGGTGCTACCTTCTACTTGAGTTCCCTTCTCTACATAAGATCTGGGAAGTAGGACAGACCAGAGACCCAGAGCTTACATTCAGAGAAGTCTGAGCTGCCAGGTACTTTCCTCCCCGAGTTCAAATCGGCCTATCCTCTGGAAACAGATTTTCTGTTAAGTCTTCTCAGTCTGAGAATGTCTATCTAGGAATCATTCTTGAGTACTTATGCATTAAGTACTTGTTAGCAACGCTTCATACCCTGTAAGGAAACTGGGTCAGATGTGTTCGCAGAGGTCAAGTGATTTGTTATGGCTAATATGCAGCTAATACTGATAATCCCTTTTATTACTAGTAATTGAGCTGGGATTTTCTTAGACTCAACTCCTACTCTAGTGCTTGCTGTTCACTAGCCCACCTCCAAGGGAGCAGAGGCCATGTTTCAGGATCCGTCAGCACTATCTGCAGGGCCTCCAATAGAGGTTTGTGAACTGGGGAGGGATAAAGGAGCTGAAAGCCTGGCAAGCATGCACAGAAGTACGACCAGTGGCTTCCTGTCTTGCTCACCTGCAGGCTGGACGTGAATAGGAGCTGAGAGAGCTCTCAGAAGCACAGTGTACATGGTCACTGGCCCCTCTGGTTTCAGAGGGAGGATGCAACTCGGCACTGCTCTGTGGGAAACCGACCAAGCTTTCCTGTCACTTTCTTCTCTATTCCCCGGGTATCTACATCTCACAACCCTCAGCAGCTCAGAGTTAAGCCTCCCTATGTGAGGTCCGGGGCTACAATCCCCATGAAGCCACCAAGTTCCTTCCGATAATCAGGTCTCTCTGTTGTCATTAAGTTGAGGCAAAACAGTGTCTTATTTAGTACCTTCCTACATAATAACTACATATAGCAGTTAAGTCAAGAAATTCTATTTAGCAATCATATTACCTCCATTAACATCTCCTTTTTGCCTAAAACAATGCTTAATTAATTAGGAGAGGAAAGTGTTCAATTTCTTCCCATTCTCAATTCCCTACATCCCAGGCTCCACCTCTGTGGCTCAAGGAAAAATAAAGGGCACAAAACCACCCAAGAAAAGGGGGGCAAAGATGATTCCTCTTCTGCCCTGGGAATTCACTTTACAAAGGCAAAAGGTATGGAACAGAGGCCACTGGAGTGTGGCAGACATGTCTGAGGCCAGGCTGCAGAATCCATTCAACCTGCTAGGCAGTGGGACAGAGAGAGCAGGTGCCCAAGGCGCCTTCATAAGGTTGCTACCAAGCAGTATCTATTACCTGTCCCTCCATTCCACCAGCTCAGCCTACACCAGGGGCAGGCTGACGGCCTGGACCCCACGGCAGCCTCAATGAGGTCTCCTCACCAGGTTTGAAGCCTGGACTGACGTGCCTGCTGTGTAACTGATACCAAGGTAGAGAGTCCACATCCCTCAAGAGCAGGCAAGCCACAGCCGCTTCGTGCAGGGAGCAGAAGACGAGGCCACAGATGCGTGGGGGTTTAATTTACACAGTAGCCACTCAGGGCCCAGCCAGAGCTGGGAGAGTTGGAATTTTTAATCCCAAAGGGCACCCCCAACCTCTTCTCCCTGGAGACCAGTCCTCAAAGACCCTTGATGAGGCTCCCTGGGTAATGCAGAGGATACTCCAGTCAAAAGATTTGGGAATAAGGCTGTCCCCAAATTGGGGTAAGTTGGTTGTTTATGAGGTGACCCAGGAGTCTGAGAGAACAGTTCATGTCCTGGGCACAGTCTTCAGTCCGGGCAGCCTAGAGGAAGCCCTCACGGCGGAACTGTTCCTGGAGAAGCGCACGGTACTGGTCAAAACCCCCCTCAACTCGGGTGACGCCACCTCCTTCGCATACCCACAACTCTTGGCACACCAGCCGGATGAAGCGTTCATCGTGGGAGACCAGAATCACACCACCCTGGAAGAGAGAAGAGCAGGGACATGCTGAGGGTCCACCTGGCAGACACTCAGCCTTCGGGTTTAGTCAGCATGAAGGCACGCTCACCCTGAAATTGTTGAGAGCGCAGCCCAGAGCTTCAATGGTCTCCATGTCCAAGTGGTTGGTGGGCTCATCCAGAATGTAGAAGTTGGGACTGGAAGGTAAAATCCAAGAAATTAGGGTGCAGGCCAGTGAAAATGAACCTCTGATTTGAAGGTGAGGGGATCTTCATTTTCTACTAGCAACAGAAAAAAAAGGAAGGCAGATTTAGGAAGTGAGGCCTCACCAAGGCATGGTCATCTGAGCAAAAGCCACTCGGCTCTTCTGGCCCCCAGACAAGCTGGCAACAGGGCGCATGGCCAGTTCTCCAGAGATGCCGTACCGGCCCAGCTGGTGGCGATACTCCTCTTCTGGCCGCCCTGGAAGAGTCCCCATGCCACCATCTGGGTTAGAGACCCACCTCCTTCCATCCTCCTGCCCCACCACAAGCCTATATCCTTCACCTTGGCTTGGGCTGCCTACACAAGTAGCCTAGCTGAGGACTCCTCCCTGGCCCTCGTTCTTCAACTTGAAACCTACGTACCAGGAAACTTCCGCGCCAGCAGCTCCACGGCACTAACGTTCAGGTCCAGCTGGTCTACGTGGTGCTGGCTGAAATAGCCAATCTTGAGGTTCCTGCAGATTGAAGCAAGGTGGAGAGGAGGTAGAAGACTGTTGTCCATTAAGGACTGAAGCCACAGAGAATGAGTATATGTACGTGTGTATAAATGTATGTGTTTGTATTCACAGTGTGGGTGGGTCTTACCTGTGAGCATGTCTGATGCCCCTAACAGGTGACAGTTCTCCCATAAGCAGTTTCAGCATGGTGGATTTCCCAGTCCCATTCTCCCCAACCTAAGAGAAGAAACAAGAACTTTAGCAGTGAGTGTATATTAGACACAAAGGATAATAAAGCGTCTCAAGTAGTTTCAATGAGTTCTTCAACAACTACTACTATAGAAAAAAATGAAGCAAAGATATAATGGGAACCAACAGCTGAGTGCCTACTAAGAGCTATGAATTTAATAATACTAATAGCTATGGGTATTATCAGCTTTTTAAAGATAAACTGTTTAGGAACCGAGGGGTGGTGGGTCTCTTTCAAAATTGCTTTCTTTGGCCACTGCCCTTGACTTTGCCACATGGCTGGGCGGGGACATGCAAACAGGCTGTGTTATATCTATCCAGCACAGGATTTGCTAGTTCTGCCATTCTACCAGATTGAAACTGAGCAGGTTCAGCAGCAGAAGTTGGGGAACCTGACCACCGCAAGGAAGCAGCAGAGAATGCAGCCCACTTTCTTTGAGGGCAGATTCCTGAGCCACCCAGCCTGGGGCCCACAGGTGAGCAGTAGCGGCTACAGCCATCCAGAGACCCCATGTGAGACGGAGCTGACCTGGGAATGCTACTGCAGGGAGCAGCCAGAGACCTTTGCTCAAGCTTGCTGGCAGAACAAGAGAGCTTTTTAACACTGGCCTAAAGCCACAAGGCTAAAGGGTCTGTGAGCACACTGCAGCAGCTGTCCTGAATGAGAAACTATCTTGCTGCCAATCTGAATCATAACTTGTTAAATCTTTTAATAAACTCTCCAATTTTGAGTGTGGTTCTGTGAGGTCTGCACAGTTACAACAACAGATTCAGGACCCAGGAGAGCAGTAAAATCGGTATTGGAATCAGTAGAAGTGGGTGTAGGAGCATGGAGACCATGTCTGACCTAGTAGGAATTAGTTTTGTAGTGTGGATTTTGTTGAAGAGGACAGTTCCCCTTTGTGGAATTAGCAGATGCCAGATGCAGCAATGCCCCATGCTGCTTATACTCATTTTGCAAGCACTTAAAATGTCTCCTTAAAATTCACTTTATCCATATGCTTGTCGGAATGACTTCTGTTGCACTACTGAGACAGTAACAATGTAAAGTTTGTCTCAAATCAATCTCTTTTAGTGTAAAAGATCAAACAAGCAAAGGAGCAAGTAAAGATGAGAGAAGCAAGATGGCAAGGCACACAAAGATCTCCAGCAGCGGAAGCTCAGAAGAAACAAGGACCTTGCTTCAGAGCCAACAGAGTAAGAATGCCTTCCCCTATGGCTGGTGCCTGGAAGTTAAGTCTTCTAGCTTCCTAAAAATATGAGAAAATAAATTCCTGTTTGCTTGAAGTCCCTGTGTGCTATTTCTTTATAACAAGACTAGATGACAAGGCAGTAACCAAGCCAGGAATGGCAGGGCAGGACCTGATGTCTGATTCCAGAACCCATGTTCTACTGGTGATCTGACCAGTAAAATACAAGTCCTATAATCAAATAAAATGGCATTTTGAGTCGGATGATCATATGATATATTCCTCCGGAGATGAAAAGGTGAGGAAAAATAAGAGTTGTTTTCATAGTTAAAAAAGTCATTGCTAGATCCATCTTGAAGTACAATATTGTCAGTGACAGGATAATATCCATGAGCATACAAGGAAGTCCAGTGAATACCACTATCATTCAGATATATGCACCAACAACCAGAGCCAAGGAAGAGGATATAGAAGATTTTTACCACCTTTTACAATC